GCTAAGATGGTGTGACCTGTTCGTCTTCGCCTACATGGAATGGGGTAGTCATTTTATGGAGTGAAATTATTATTTACTGATTTTCATAGCTGGTTTGTCTTGTAAAATTGATTGCACGATTTGAGTTGAATTATTTGAGGTCACCATATGTTCTGAACATAAATAGTTAACTAGTTATAAGACTACCTTGTTTTTATTTCAAACTTATTATTATCTTGTATACATAATTTATTTAAAGACTGGAACTTACTTTATTTTAGTGTTCTTGATGACTCCGATATCGACGAAACCAATTGGCTTTCATATGCCGCCACTTCAAGCCAGTTAGATGAAACCTTTGCGGACACACGATGTCCTAAGCTAGAAAATAACATTAATGAACGTGATAGCGACTGGAGTTGTTATCCACGCGAAATGACTTCACCGATCACTGTTTCCGCCACAGGATTTAGCAGTGGCACTAACACCACATGCGCTTTTCCTGGTAATGCAATGAACCCAAATACCCTTGATATTGGTTGCACGCCTAGTAGCTTTCTTTCTCCTTCCAATCGTCACATCTCTGTTTGTTCAACCCCCGGCGGTCCTCCACTGCTTAGCGCTCCAGGGGCCCGGCATAATCTTATCCCTGGACATTTGGGAACGCAGAATCAGCATCAGGTTCATCACTCAGGGCCTCCAAATACTCCACTGACAGGTCATCGTCAACTCGGCTCCGTTTGCACTGCTGCATCTAACTGTAGTGGCAATAATATTTCCGGGACTGGTGGCCTTACTAGTGTTGCATCATATATCCCACCTAATTCCAGTCCTACTTTCTCCGGTATAACTAGATGTCTTACTCCAGCTACTCTATCGACAGAGGTGACAAAATCACCACCTCGAACTGGCTCCATCCTACGTCACCCTTTTTACCAACAGCATCATACTACTTGTTCGAACCCTGGGCTGGGGGGCGCCACCAATCCAGTCAGTGGAGCTTCTGCTCCACTACATTCGAGCCCGACACATTCTCGTTACCATCATCTTCATCATGCTCACTATACTCCCCACCAACCAAACTCGTCCCTTAACTATCGATTCCATCCAAACTCCATGATCCGGACCACTGTCTGTGGCTCTATTGGCACAGCTGTAACGTCTGCCTCAGGTGTGCAAATACTTTCCGGCCTATCTCAAATGGGCCGAAATCAACAATCTCCGTTCGCTTCATCAACTGTGGTTGATTCGGTAAGCTTCATTTTCTTTTGACATTTGCTAGCTACTATTTTTTGAGATGTCATAAAATACACGGTACCAATTAAGTGATATTTAGCTAGGCCAATATTTATATTTCATCAATGTTCGTGACCTAAGGTCTCTACTTTTTGACAAGAAAGAGTAAATATTTTTGCAATGACTCTTTAAAAGGGTTATCTCATTGTTGATATATTCTTTTAATTCTCCTGAATTCTCCCGGTTTAAAATTTCAAAACAATTTATGCAATGCAGCATCTTTTAATCTTACATTGCTACTTTTTTATCGGGATGCCATAAAAAGCGAATGAAACTCATGTAGTTATTCAATTATATTCTTTAATTACAAAGCCTATTGACGTGCTGGATGGATTTTATTCTAATAATATTTGGTATTTCTTTTAGCTATGAAAATAATGTCCATAAGAATTTGATATCAGGTTCAATAGACAAAAGA